AATCAACTATATGAAAAATGTCATGCTAGAGACTGAGTTTGTGCCTGGTAGTGAATTGTTGGCAAGTGAAGTCATGGGAAAAGGACGCAGCGTGTAGAAGGCCAGCCCAAAAGAGAACAGTAGGCAGAATTAAGGTATTTTTGGTCACACATGTTCTCAAGCTAGGAGACAAGACAGCTCAATAAAGGAAAAGGTGGCTTCTGATCAGGTGATGAAAGCAAGGGAAAAGCCCTCTTGCCTCCGGTTGGAACACCTCTGAGGTGAGAAATGTACTTGCAGACGAGAAATTCCCTATGAGACTCAGCTAGACTTTCATGGGCAGCCTATCCTCGTGACTTCCTTCCCTCATGATTCTGTGCTCTGATGGTGGAATGGCAGCTAGCAAAGTACGTGTGCTAAGAGAGACACCTGGCTGCTGTGGCACTTCATCCTGGAGTAAGGCCTGCCACTCATGCCAGATGCAGTTGATAGAAGACTAAGCAAATGAGGTAATTAATTGCTTTGTGCATGCTGACAACATATTTGGAAAGTCAATAGAAATTCAAATCTTGATTAACATTTATATTGAGTTTGTACAATACGATTCTGGCTGTTGTTAATTTTTGTTTGTAACACACATAACATGACTTGGAACAAATCACCTCATCTCCTGACTGTGAAGCAATACAAATAATATTTATTAGTTCATGGCATTATTGGAAGATATAATAGATGTGCATATAAGTTCCTGGTTCTTATTAAGTGCTTCTCCTACCTACCAATAGAAAACATGTTCAAGAATGCTTTAGGAAGATATCACAGTCCCAGACTCTTGGGTCTGAGTGTCTGAGGTTGAATCTCAGCTTTGCTGCTCACTGCTGTGATCCTGGGTGACCTACTTATTTATTCTCTAGCTCTATAGTAAAGGCCTGCAACTCTTGTTACTCCAAAAAAAAAAAATTAGTTCCTTCTTTTTGTAAAAAACATCTTTCTCAGCCAGGCTATTGCAAATGCTGAGTGCTGTAATCAGTATCCATGGGCTCTCACACTTTCCTAGTTCCCAAGTGTTGGGGAAGGGGAAAGGAAGGAGTATCTTGAAGTGACCAGGTCCACAGTGGCTCTCATGAAGTAACATCCTGTCAACCCTTGAAGTGCTGCCATGAACCAAATCAACTCTCAGCATGCTCACACATGAGTGGATCAACACACAGCATGTTCCCTGTGGGCTTCCTCCCCAGTGTACTGTCAGATGCATGAGGAGGTACTCAGTATGCTGTCATGGAGACCTCAGTAGCCATGTGTAAGCTTCCACAGGCCTTTCTAGCACCCATGTTGTCAAATGAGCTTACTAACCCTCAGTGCACTGCAACAGGGGCCAATGAGACTCTAATGTGCTGTCACATGGACAAGACACTAACTACCACCACATTAGTGTGTGGTCTTGCTACCCAGAATGAATTGTAATCTAAACACACCAACCCTGCATGTTCATTCAGGAGGGCAAATCAACATGCTACTTGTACTCATTCTTACCTCTTTTCCTTCACTGTCAGAAATGTACCCTTTAATTTCATAAATATGTAGTCACAAAACAGAGCAAAACAATGTGGGAGAAAAATCTTTGTATGTGTGTGGGATTTCAGAGAACAACAGACATCATTTTAAAAATTTGATTGTAGTAGGAAGTCTATAATTGCTGTCTTGAACTTTAGATCTCATTATGTAGTCCATAGAATTTTCAAACTATTTACACCCAATGGGAGAATCATTTCAATCAGTTGATTCAATTTTAAGTCACTGTTAATTTTCACAGTAGACATTTTAATGATATACTTAATATGAAACATCTTGAGCTGAGACAAACACAGGTCCTTTTGGCTATGCTCTTCAGTAAGGAAAATTGGCAAATTTTACCTGTGAATTAGTGACAACTATTTTTTTCTTTTCTTTTGAGACAAGAGTATTCATCCAATGGTGGTATATCTATTTTGGAATACCTTAATTTAGTTTGACACATGTTTTTGAGGAGGCATTTTTACTGAGAAGGCACAGATTTTTCTGTCTGAATGAGAAAAGTTCTCTGATTATATAGCTTTCTGATTGTATAGCTTTTTTCTGTCAGTTCCAAAAAACTACTCCTCTGAACCTTACTGTGTCCTCCACGCCCTTGATTCACCTCCTTTCCTGAAGGTGAATCCATAGCTTTACTCCCACTGTTTCCACCTCCAGCACCTCCCCTGGAACATTCTCCTTCTCTGTAGGGTCACTCTGCTTTCCCTCATTTCCCCATATGTTATGTTTCCATGTCCCTTTTTCAACCAAGCTTTGTAAAAACAACTGTTTTGCTTCCTTTCTACTTCCTCAGTTATATTTGCTCACTGACACATTCTGTTGCTATAACAATTTTCCTGAGATCAGATAGTTTGTAGAGAACAGAGGTTTCTTTAGGTTCTGGTTCTGGATGTTGGGAAGTCTAAGAGCCTGGCACCAGCATCTGGTGAGGGCCCTTAATGCTGTACCATAATAAGTATGGTGAAGAGCATCACGTGCCAAGACAGATCAGCTTGCTAGCTCCATTCTCTCTTTTTCTTCCTTCCTCCTCCTCAGGATCAGGATACAACCTGATCCTGTCTTCCTCTAATTATAAAGCCATTAATGTCATCATAGGGTCTCTTCCCTTAAGACCTCATCTGATTGTAATTTTCTCTCCAAGGCTCTCCCTCCACATAACAGCATGTGAATTTGAGGATTGTGATTCCAACACATGAGCTTTTATGAGATACCACTGAGCTATTGCATTCACTAACAGACACAAATGGTTTGTATGCTCATCCCTCTACTAACTGCTGTGAAGAAGTCATGGATGAACTAATCAGAAAATGACCAGATTGCTTTCCTAATCTCATCTAACTGAACTTCCCCACACAGTGTTAGTACTAAACAGTTGTCTTTTTAGGTCATACTCATGAGATTCTACAAGAATTGTACACTCTTATATTTTTACTTTTATATGCTTGACCCTTTCATGTTTAGTAAGTATGTGCATCTCTTGCTCTGCCCACCTTATAATTGTTTGCCTCTCTCTTGGCTTGGTGTTTTTCCATCTGCAGGCTGTTGCAGATCAAGCCAGCTCATATTCAGGTCTTTAGAATCAAACATGTTTATCTCCCCTGTATATTTCTCCCCAATCTAGTTCTTTCTGCAAGTTTCAGAACCATGATCTAGGCCTTAAGTATGTGTTTATGGATTGTGTTCCCCCACCTTGTCCCTAATATGGTTAAATTTTAATTCCCAGTATTCATGAGTGTGACTTCACCTGAATACATGATCTTTGCACATGATCAAATTAAGTTGAGAGTATTGAGTATTAGAGTGGGTCATAGTTCACCATGACTAGCATTCTCAGCAAAAGCAGAAATTCCAAATACCAAGAAAGGCGATAAAACAGAACGATGATGTGAGGACTCTGAGAGAAGGCATTGCTCAAATCTAGGGTCACTAGAGACATAGAACAGATTCTTCATCCAGTCCTTCAAGGGAACCAATCGCATCAGCACTGGTTTGTATAGCCATGAGGCAAGAAATTATTGTCGTTTAAACCACACAGTTTGTTGACATTTTGTTAGAGCAGAAAATACACATATCCACTTGATTATTCTGTCACTACTAGCACAGTGTGTTCCAAAGTCAGATTGCTATCTTTCTCCTGAAAGGACTCAACATGTGATATTCTCTGGTTTAGTTGCTATTTGGTCTCTCAGGTTAGAGATCAAGGACTCCTTGAATCTTTATCTCTTGGGTTTTCATTTAACTAAATACCAGGAGCCTCCCATTTTACTTTGTAGACATTCCTCATCTCTCTTTTTCTTCCCCCTGGGCTCCCCCTGACCTCAGTTCTCACTACTGTTGAATAGGCTACTAAACAGGTGGCCATTTGGCTATGCTTCCTGATTTTGGGATAAGAGCAGCATGTTTCATCTTAAAAAATTATCTGCCCATGTATGTGCTATTATGATTCTTATCTTATTGTTTGGAAGAAACACAACAAACTACCTAACATGGCACACAAATTCCTCACACTTTGACCATGTCCACTTTCTTAACCTCATCTTCTGTATACACTTAGCTATGAAGTTAGGTGACTCTCTTCAGAATCTACTATATTTCTTTGTTTATGCTTTTGCACAAATTTGGCTCCAGTGTGAGACTTCTTACTATAAGACTCTGTATTAAACATTTAAGCTAGAGAAGATCTCCCCTATGCCTCTTTTCTGGTGATGGGAACCCATCATCTGGTCTCCTATAATTCCCTGCAGGTCCTTCTGCTATTGTACCTAATACAGTGCATGGTAACTGTGTCTGCCCTTCATATTATTAAAGGAATTATTGAGTTTGTTCAAGCTTGACCCTCTAAATCCTTGCCCTAATTTTTCACTCAGAACTATTGCCTGTCATATAGCCTCTACATGAAACAATTTGATGATGGTAATCTTTGTTCTGTATGGTATAGATTAGCATGGCAAGCAACCTACAACATGGTACTGGGGCTGTAAACCTGCTGTGGCACATTGACACCAACAAGTGATCACTTGACAAAAGCACTAATCTGTTTCATGTTTTAAGCTGGTCAGACAATTTAACCACTGAGTTAACTGCGTCTCAGAAGAGAATGATGGCAGGCTTAGACTGGGCAGTTTGGGGACATTATTACCAGAGATGATTTACACAGAATCAGGCATGTAGAAGGAAAATGACAAGGAATTTTGGAGAACATTAGATCTAGCAAAAGAAAAAACATCTAATGGACAAGGGAAGGCATGTGAGGGTTGGGCTGTGAACTGTAGTGAACCTCACAGCTAAATACACTTTGTCCTCACTTTCCTGTCTCCAGCACACGTCCAGGGGAAGCCAATGGGCAGGGGAGTGTGAAATGCAATCTATGCAGCTCAGTTCCTGGGGTCTGGATATGATTGTGAGGGGCACCCACACAAAGAGGAGCACCTGAAAATACTCAGCCCAATAAACAGAAATGAATATGCAATTTAATCAATATTAATCTAATAAACATTTATTCATGTGTTACTAATCAATTATGAAAAATATACTGCTGTCTAGGACTAAGGGTTTCACTGTTTCTTATATCCAGAAATGGAAACTAGCGTAGTGGCTTCCATACATCTCTTTTTAATCCAAACGGGGTAACTTTGTTCTTCATGATCATTTCATTTGTATTTTTATTCATCTTATATCTTCCTCAGGAGAAGTCTGAGTAGAAGAAAAAGCTCATCTCATATTTTATAAGAGCCACAGAAAATACAATTCTTTCTGTTGTATTTTCATCACTGAAGTCTTCCTTTTTACGAAACATGATTTTTCCATCCAAAGGGGGACAACTATGAAAAGAAAGTGACATATAATGTAAAACTTTAAGTTGTGTTTCTGTGAAATGAAAGAGTTTTCCTTTACCTTCATAAACGAGTGATTTTCCTCTCTTTAGCCCAGTCTTGGACATCTGCTTTTCCAAATATTAAGTAGAAGATCAATCCAAAAACATTAATGGCAAATAATAAGAAAAACATATTCCTCCACCCAAACTCAGGGTCCTGGGGACAAAAAGCAAGCAAACAGTATTATTACTTTCATCTTTTGTTCTATGAAACTTCCTATTATTGATTAAGATGACAATGTTCACAAATGAATTTCTCTGTAGAAATACATTTCCTGAAAGTGACTTGATAGAGAACAAAATTCCAAATACATCTAAAATATTGTTTATAAAAATCATTTGGGTACTTTTATAATTAGTCTCTAGCACTTCATTTGTCACTATTGCCGAAGTGCCTTATACTTTATCTCTTATATGAATCTTAATTGTATAAATGGTAAGCCTGGGATTGTTTCAAAGATTCTTCTTACATTGGGATGATGTAGTGAATAGATTATGGGCTTTATACCTAGACACGTCTAAGTTAGAATTATGTTTAGACACCTTCTTATCAGAAAGACTTACTTTACCTGATTTTATGTTTAATTATTTGGAAATAAGGATAGTCATTTGATTTTCATAATTGATATGAGAATTTATTATTTATACTTCAATGATTATTTTATTTATAATAATTAATAAAATTTTATCTATTTATTTTATTTAATAAATAAAATAATAAATATTTTATTATTTATACTTATAAGATTACTGCATATGAAATATTATTTTTTTCCTTTTGCACAGTTATGGAAATAAAAATTTCAAAGTTTTGCAGATGACATGGAAGATTGATATAAAATCATATTCCCCAGATACCTATGTGGCTGTGTGACTCCAGTGTCAGATAGTAATAACCAGTGCGTCAGTATTTAGTTCTTTGTTTCCAGAATAAACCAGAATTGAGATTACCAAAGAAGTTGTTTTATATTTTTCTTTACTAGATTTATTGTCTTGACATTATCCATAATTCAGTTTGATCTTCTAACCTTTAAATACAGTCTTTATGCTATTGCTGTTACAAATGGATTGAAAACAGCATTTTAAGAGCCTTTTTGAAAAGAAAACTCTACCTGATTGAGGAGAAACCCACCGATGATGGGTACCAGCACAGCTGACATGTGTGCAAATCCCCTTGAGGCTCCCAGAAGAAAACTGGAATATCTGTGGGTGATAAGAATGTTCTAGACCAAATTCAAAGATGCCTGACAGTATCCTTTAGTCCTGTTCTATGTGAGAATTCATTGCATAGTTACATCAAAAGGGGCTTGTGCTGTGTATATTTAATCAGAAACATTGTCACAAATCAGTATCCCTCTTACCGCATGCAAGACAATCTGCAGGTCCTACCTATGCTTCATTCTTTTCTAAAGCTTTAGGCTCCCAGTAAGGTACAAGCGGAATGTTTTTTTCAGAAAACATGTGAAGACAAGAATCGTACCTTGGAGCAATATCTAAGGCATTGACATAGACGCCCGGTTGAGATAACGGGGCCACTCCACATGCTAGCGTTAGAAATGTGATTGTTATAATGTAGTTGGAATTGAGGTAGGGCAGGGACACAATGAGTATTGAAGGTGGAAGTTGTCCTAGGGAATGGGAGACAGAAAAATTAAAGGTGACATAAATTCTTTGTTGAATGCTTGTGAACTTTTCCAACCTCAGACCCCGTTCTTACCTAGAAATGTGACAGTTTTCCTCACTATGACAAATCTAAAATTCTTGGACAGAAGGAAATCTGCCAGCTGGCCACCCAGGAGACCAACAATCCATGCAACAATGAAAGGAAGGGAAGACAGGAGGCCATTCTGGCGGGGAGAAAATGGAGCAAATCATATGAAAAAAGGTGCAACTTTCATCCATAAGTAACTAATAATCATACTGACCCTCTGAAGTTAATCTTTCTTAGGAAAATTGGTAACTTCTTCCATCATACTTTCAGGCAATCTACTGGGACGAGGGTTTAGATTATTTAAGTAAAAGAAAGTAACTTCTAAGTGGAACGATTTGTGAAGGTGGAGTAATTGGTGAGTCATATAAAAGAGAAAAAATGGAAGCAAACATACTCACATCTCTGATGTTGACTTTGAACATGTGACTGATGTAAGTAGGTGTGTACGTAGCCAGTGTGTTAATTAACCACTGATGGCTGAAACTGCACAGACAAATGGACCAAAAGGGCAGAGATCTGAGTATAGATTTGATGGGAAGAGACCGCTCTTCTGAGCTGACCTAAAAGCAAAGTTGAGATCTGAGAGATGCTTGTTACCCTCTTCATTACCTTTCGGAATACCGATGCTGACTCAAGGTGTCTGGAGGAGGGGATTGGAGTCCTTATGCATACTCACCTGTTGGTCCAAGGTTGATAAGATGTACTCCTTTTCTGAGATGCCTATCCATGGGTGAGAGTCAGGATCATCATACACCAAAACAAACCAGAGAAGGCTAAAGACACAGCCGAGGCCTCCTGAAAGCAGGGGGTCAAATTGATAACTGAGCTCATTTCTGCATTTTGGATGAATTTCTTTTATGTTGGGACACCTTCTAAGTGTAGGGCCTCGGAAAAACTCTAACTTTGTATATCCCCGTACCGCTTCTCGGATGATTCATATGAATATCATAGCTTCCTAGTACCCCTTTGTTCACAGTTCTTTTTGTGTGTATAAATAGCGTATCTTAGGAACAGTGTAACACTTGATATCAGTGTTTTTAATAATAGCCAATCTAATAGGTGTGTGGGGGTATCTCACATGATTTTTATTTGCATTTCCATAATGATGAAGGATTTTGAGTTATATACAATTTATGAGTATTTTATTCAGTGACTCAAGAATTGTGTATTTTTCAGTCTGTCTTACTAGAATGAGGAATAAACCTGGTTTGCTGTTGAGTACTCACACTCTGAGTTTTCTGAGCTTGGCCCATATCTTCACCGACTCCCCACTTCCTGTTTTCCCTCTCTGGGTCTTCTCTGAAGTGTCTTTACCCATTTCTAAAGTTGGAGGTTTTGTGTTATTACTAAATTTTGAGAATTATTTACTCATTCTAGACAAATGTCCTTATTATGTAAGTGTTTTGCAAACATTTTTCCTCGAATTGGGTTGTGTTTTTTTTAACTTTGATGAAATCCATTTCCAGTTATCCATTTCCAGTTTCATGGGACAGGCTGCTTTTGGTGTCATAGTCAGAAAATTCTGTGCTTTTAGGAAAAAGTTTTTTTTTCCTATGTGTTCTCCTAAAATACGATCAGATTTCATGTTAAGGTTTGGGATTCTTCTCAAACTAGTTTTATATATGATGTAAAGTATAAATCAAATTCTTAAGATGATTTTGAGTGTTGATGTCTGATTTTTGGGCACTGTTAAAAAGAATTCTCCAATAATTGCACTTTTCTCAAAGATTGGTTTATCTTAGATGTATGAGTCATTATATGACTGGTCTTTTCTGTTGATCCTTTTGCCTACCTTTATGCCAATACTTGGTGATCGTCATTTTACAACATGCCTTGACATCAGAAAGTTAGTTCTTAGACTTTAAAGTTGTTACGTTGATCTGGAATCTTTGCATTTTCAGGAGAATTTGTTTTGTCTCATCTTTGATCAGATTTATTACTGTACCATACATTTTTGATTATTTTGAAAATGAGATTGTTTCTTCAATTCAAATGTCTTTCTTCTACTTTTCTAGGTCTGAAAAGATCTTTATCTTGTATTTGTTTTTAAAATAACTCTTTTCCTTTGGGTTGATGTTTCTTGTGTTTTTCTTTTAGGTTGATTCTAGGTTGATGTTTTCTTGTGTTTTTTTATTGTAAAAAGGGTAAGATTAAACATAACAAAACAGAACAAAACAGATCATAAGGAAACAATTTTAAGAAACATGAGTTTCAAAGCAAGTCCACTGGAGATCATTACTGTCAATCATATTGTCTCTAGTTTTCTTCCAATTAGTTTTCCCCATCTTCACACACAGTGAATACATACTGAACATTATAGTACTAATCTAATCAGAACAGGATGATGAAGGCTTTTTAGGTCAAGACCTGATATTAGGGAAGTCAAAAATGGCTGCCATAATATCTCTCATTCTCTTCGAAGTGGCTGTGCATATCTTTACGTATGCTGAAATTAAACATGAGACTAGACTAATATCACTTTGAACAGTGAATAATAATATTGCTAGATTTTTGTATCATAATGCTACAGAATTGGCACTGGGTATCTTGTGTCTCTTCTTCAGAATATCTGTTCATTACATTGTGCGTTATGTAATCTGTTCCCATGGACTGTTTAGAGATTCTCCACATGTGTGAATCTCTACATGCATACTTATCCTTTCTGTATTATAGGGAAAAACAGATCAAAACAAGACAACAAAACAAATTCCTAGAAAAACATGCAATGACAAAGACATATAAAACCACAATTTTAAGTGATCTACAGTAGTTATTATGTTTTGTTATTTTCAATAGAATTGTCTACATGAGACATAATATCATTGAACATAGCATTACATAGCAATTTTAATAAAAACACAACACTGGAAACATGGTAGAACTTCAAAAACAGTTAACAATCAAACCAGAATGGATATCTTATTACATCTTGTCATCTTCAAGATGTAATACTCTTCAACTAAGAGTAGTTATCTCTACTCTTAGACTTGATACTATCAAGCATACCAAATTCACATAAAATCAGTCAAGACAAAACAGCGGTCTAACAAACCAGATTCAAATAAGATGTCATAGTAAGACAATGTAAGTAATACAGGACTTCAGTTTAAGTTAATAGGGAATTAAGAATATTTACCATAGTATATCCTGCTATTTTTCGGAAATCTGTCTGTGCCCTCAAATCTAGTATGAGTAGTCAGACCAGAACAAAATAGAATCAAACTAAATGAAGTGATAAGACTAATGTGGCTTTTGAATCCTGATACACTATTAACAATGTCCTCTGCCTTCCTTTTTTAGGCAATTCCTCCCCTTTCCCTTTCTCAGGGTGCTTTATTTTGGGTCCCACTAACTTCTTTAGCTTTTAGATTGGGGGGGGGGGCAACCCATTATCTATCTAAGTGGTTTTGAACCTTTTACCCCTTGAGCTGTATTCCTTTACTAAAGCCACAAGGTTTTCCTTCCTTATAGCTGCGTAGTTCTCCATTGAACAAAAGTGTCATGACTTTCCAACGTATCTGCAGCTGCTGGACAAGTTGTCCCTATTTCTCTCTGGTTCCCTGTCACACAAAGCATCATTTTCTCATCTTTGACTTTCAGATTATATTTCCTATTCAGAGCATCTCGATGGATCCTGTCTCCTGATCTACTCTGCCTGTCTTTGTTTTTGTTAGTGTATCAAGGCTATCTATATTAGAGATTATAGCCCACCTTCTCTGCCTCATCTCTGCTATTCTATTTTTCTGCTATTATTTGTCCACTTTTCTCCTTCATTCCACTGTCTGGCCGATTTACTGAGGCCTCTCTGCCACTGTTGCTGGGATCCTGGTATATTTTTCTATCTCTCTTTAGAATGTCCTTCAGTATTTTTGTAGGGTTAGATTGGTGGCCATGAACTCCCATAATTCTTCCTTGTCTTGGAAACATATTGTTTCTCCATTAATTTTGAGAGAGAGTTTTTCAAAGTATATCAATCTGGGTTGGAGATTATTTTCTTTCAGGGCTTGGACTACTTTACTCCAACCTCTTCTTGATTTGATAGTTTGTGTTGAGAAGTCTGTCATTATTTTGATGGATTTTCCTTTATAGGTGATCTGCTTCTTTTCTATGACCACTTTTAATATTCTCTTCTTGTGGTGAATTTCTAGGATCTTGATTATTGTATGTCTGGGTATAGATCTGTTTTGGTTGTAGGTGGCTGGATTTTTGTATGCCTTATTTATCTGGATATTATTTCTTTTTCCTATGCTTGGGAAGTTTTCCTTAATTATTTCTGTGAATAGCCTTTGTAATTCATTTGTTCTTACTCCTGCTTCTTCGCTCACATTTTTTATTCTTAAGTTACAGATCCTCTTGTTGTCTTATAGCCTTTGAATTGTTACTTCCTTGTTCCTTGTTATTTTTAAGAGGTCTTTTCTTTCACAACCACACATTACAAATCTATCTTCAAGTTTTGAAAGGCTAACTTTAGTTTCTGTCAAGGCATTTTGCCATCTTTCAATGGATTTTTTAAATTTCCTGGTAATCTCTTTGGATCTGTTTCATGTATTCTAGGTTTTGTTTATATTCTTCACCAAAGGTTTCTCTTCCTTTTCTGGGTTCCTCCATTCTTCCATCTGTGTCTTCTTGAGAGGGGCTTAGCATTTCTTTTATTAATCTTTTTATATCTTGCCTCACTTGGATTAGAATTTCAGTTTTAATTTCGTTTATGAGGTCATGAAGGTATTTCTTTATGTCTGCTGATGTTGTGGCCAATATTGCACGATTGCTGCACTGGACCTCTTCTGTATTTATCTCTCCTGGACTTATTTTCCCATGGTCAGCAGCTTTCTTATTTCTTTCTTTTGTCATGTTTCTGGTTTCTTTTAGACAGGTGTATGGTAGAGGTCTCAGGCCCTCTCTGTATTGCTTACAGTTTTTTCTAAAGCATGCTGGCTGGGGGCTTTCTGCCTTCTTCAGTTTGCTGTTATCTGAGGTGCACATAGGGACTGTGGACTGGCCCCTCTCTTCTGAGTCAGTCAACCTGTGTGTGCCTTCAGCATGTTAGTCTGTGCTGTGTGGACGTCACAGGTTCGGGACAGTTTCATCCCTGACTATTGGGTCCTGACCAGGGGTGTGAGCCAGCCCAAGCAGGTCCTGCCCATCCTCTTTGGGTCAAGGGTGGCTGACTGATGTCACCATGGCACCAGACTCAGGCCTTGTTCTGCCCCACTCCAATATGTCTTCCAGCTGGCCACACCCACTGCGGGACCCAATTTTCAGCACTCACCATGAGTTAATGCAGTTCTCCACCTTGGCTCCACTGCATGCTGCACCCTGTCTTCCTGTCAAGGGCTCAGGACTCACCAACTCCCGTTATCTGTGGCCATGGCTCTAGCGCGATGGTGAATCGTCCGACTGTGGAATTGGTCTCATTGAGTGTGTCCTACTCCAGCCCTCCACCTGTTTTTCCTTCCTCTTCCCCTTTTTCTTTTTCCTCAGTTTCCTCCTGGGTTGTGAGAATCTCTCTCCCCCTCGTCCGGCCCTCTCCGTGTTGTCAAATTCCAGTATCTGAGCCATTTTTCCCAGAGAGGCTTTCCACCCAGCTACCTATCAAGCCACCATCTTCTTCTCTCTCCTGTTTTCTTGTGCTTTAAAGACCTTCCACCTTTTTATCTTATTGCCTTTGTCAGAAATCCTGCATTGCCATTATCTTTTTCCCTCTCTGTATAATGTATCTTTTAAGTTTTGGCTACTTTAACATTTTTTCTTTGTTAGTGTTTTTTAGCCATTTGATTCTGATGTACCTTGGTGTAGTGTACTTTATTCTTCTCGAGTTTGAGTTTTGTTCACTTTTTTGGTTCTACAGATTTATAGTTTTCATCAAATTTAGAAAAATTTTCATAAAATGTGTCTCTACCCTAGTCCTGTCCTTTAGGTACTGCACACATTACTAGTGCTCTTATTCTGTCTTATTTTCCTTTTGTGGCTCATTCTGAATTGTCTTCATTGTGTCTTTTATGTTTATTAATCTTCACTTCTATCATATCAAATCTGCCATTAACTCTATCTAGTGCATCTTTCATCTCAGATGTTGTAGAGGAATACGGATAAGAACATCTTTAGAAGTTTGGTTTGGTTCTTCTTTGTATTGATCACCTCACTGCTTAACTTTTTGAAGATACAGGGTTATACCAGAATGTAATTATAATAACTACTTTCATGTTCTTGTCTGCTAATTCTAAATTGTGCCAGGGGTCAGTTTTAACTATTTATTAATCTCCTTATTATGGGTTGCATTTTCTGCTTTTTTTTCATGTTTGGTAATTTATAGCTGGAGCCAGACATGATGCCACACACTGCTAGGTGCTAGATACTGTGTTTGGTTCAGGGATATTGTTAAACTGTGTCAAAACAGTTGGATCTTTTGAGGTTTGCCATCATCATTTGTGAGAGGGAAACATCACTGTGTTCTCTCTAGGGCTAATAATTTCTCACTAGTCAGGAAAAATACTAATGAGTATTTTATCCAATGACCCATCCACTGTTTTTCAATCTGTTTTATTGGACTAAGCAATAAACCTGGCTCACTGTATCACATTCTGAGTTGTCTAATTTTGACCCATGACCACACTCTCCCCACTGACCTCTGTTTATTCACATACAGACCCTGATCAGTGTGTGACTGGATACTTGAAGGGTTCTCTGCAGATAACTGTGGTCTCTCTGTGAACAGTTATCTCCCCTAAGGCACTCTGTACGGTGTGCCACACCTGTCCTACTATCTCCTATTATTTACTTCCTTCTATCTTCAGCACCCCCCCATCCTAACAGAGGTAAAAAATAATATAACAAGAGCACAAGCACATAACAGGCGAGAGCACATAACATAGGCAAGAACACATGTGCACTGGAGTTTCTGGCTTGACCTTCAATCACCTTTATCCTACTCTTGTGGCTGTTTTTCCATCCATTTTAGTTGTGTTGCTTAATTTTTAAGTATTTGAAGTGGTTCAAGATGCCCTTCTGTTACCAATTCCTAGTTTGATTCTCTTATATTCAAAACACATATTTTCTATAATTTTAAAAATAAGTTTTTATGGTTCATAGAGTATCTTCTTGATGAATTCTTCAAGTATACTTGAAAAGCACTATAATCCTGTTGAATGAAGTATGCTTCATTCCTTGAGTGTACCCATTTATTCTGTTAATTATTAAGAGAAGAATTTTGAGGTCTCCATCTCTTGTTGTGTATTTCTTTCCTTCTCCTTGCTGTTCTACCCAGTTTTGCTCTATGTATTTTGAAGATCTGTTGTTAGATACATAAACATTTGAGGTTGCTGTCTTTGTGATGAATTGGTAATATTGGTAATAGAAATTATCTTTATCTGATGTTAACACAGCCACTTGATTTTCTCTAGATTGGTGTTTTCATAATCCTCTGAACTCTTCCAGACCATCAAAACTAACCAGATTCCCTGTCCCTAGGGAAGATGTATAGAAGGAAGAGATGACTAAACAAAATGCAAGCCAGTAAGAGCTTTGAAAACAGATTGTGGAATTTGTAGACTAGGCAGTTGTTTCTTGATTTCTGTTTAGTTAGACAGACAGCCCTGGGCTAATCTGGAGACTGACAAAAAACATTCTCTTGATTTGTGTTTTCTCTCCTTTTAGAAACTCGTGTCTTATCTGGGGCCCCTTATTACCATGCTTAATCTGAGACAAACCCACTTATTTCTTTAGATTTCTTTCTGCTATGTCTCACAAACCACTGCTCTGCAAATCTGTTTCCCACTGCTTGAAAAAATAGCAAGGATCCTGGTGACACTGTGATGCTGCATTGGTGGCTGTCAATGGAACTTTATCACAAGCAGGTTGATTTGTGTTCTGTGATGGTGGATACTGATTTCTTTGTATTAAATTATGATATTTTGGGTTTCTAATATTTTTCTGTTTTGGCTTATTTCCTTCAGAAAAGTACACACAGTAGTATGCACATAGAAGACTCTTGCTGAGTAGGAAAAGTTGGGACTGGGAGAAAGACAGGACTTACCACTGGTATAGAAGACAAAAGGCCACCCAAAGGCTTGACTAATGATGCCACCAAGGAGGATAGCCATGAACATTCCCAGTGGGATTCCTGTAGAGACAGAAAGTAAGCTGTGGGGTTCTTCACCCCCTCCCAACACACTTTTACAGATTGGTAGGTGCATATAAAGTAGAGTCACCAGACCACAGAGATGAGCACAATGAAATATAAAAACTTGTAAGTCATTATTTAGCTCATACACTTTCCTGAGAACCCACCTTTTTCTCATGATAACATTTCAGGTGACTGTCAAACTTTCCTTTATGCTATTTTAAGTTTTAAACGCCCATGTCATACATGCTTATTGTGCTTATTATAAAAATACTAGGAAAGCATCTCACATGCCCTCCAAATTCATTTTAATCTCCTCTCTAATGATAACCATTAGGAACAATTCATAATCTATAATTATAACATATAAATGTTTATCTTGTCCTCTCTGCACACATTCACAATATATATCTACACAGATACTCATTTTCTTTGTAAATACATTCATGCAATATCTACACAAAACATTAATTTGCCTACAAGTAACACTTTTAATTTCCATACCTTTATAGGTTTGTATGATAGGGCATGTTCCAATTTTACAGCTTTTTCAAATATTTCCAAGGTATTGTAGTTTTATTTTATAGATTAATATTAAATGACTCAATCCTATGTATATTTAATGATGTTATTTTTAAACATGCAGGATTATAATTTTTCTATTGCTTTGAGGCCTTTCTTTTTCTTTTAACAATTGCTTTTGTAAGTAGTTTCATATGTCACTACAGATTCTACTTCTGAGTGTAGTTAGTACTCATTTTTATACTAATTTCTGTATATAAACATAATTTTTGTATACTAGAATATCAGATATGGACTTGCTAGATCAAAAGCTATGTGCTCTTAAATTTGGTAAGTCCTACTAAATTATCTTGCTAAAATGCTGTGCTCAATTAAGCTGTCAACAAGTATCACTTCCCTCATCTCTTTTTGTGACACCTAATACCCTTAAAGTTTTTAAAAACTGTACCTGCTACATGAATAAAAGACTACCACTTTAATTTCCTCTTTTATAGTGAAATTGAACATTTTCCCCAAGTTTAATTATAAGATTTATTTCTTCTGTGAACTGTTGATCATTTTTTTCCTCTGTTTCTGTTGCTTGTTTATGCTTGCCTCAACTTAAAGAATCTTCAAAATTGTGAATAATCATCTGTCTGGCAAGCAGGCTGCAATTCTCTCACCTTGATTTTGTTTATTTTGAATCTCATAATTGGCAGTTGTAAGTATTGATAATGTTAATCTATGATGCTTCTCTATAATGACCTCTAGGGTTTACTCTTTGATTTAGGGGCTTCCTCTACCCTGCAATGTAAAAAGTGGTTTCTTATGTTTTCTTCTGATTTACATAGGTTCCTTATTTAAATTATTGCCTGTGTTATGTTATTTAAACACTAGTAATCCAATCTGCACTTAAGAAAATAGAGACAAGGGAAAGTTAAATAACTTGCTGAAGGTCACAGAACTAATAACAGAGGAAGGCAGTATTTGAAAACATGTCACGTGATGCTGGGGCACAGATGGAGAAGATGGAAGCCAGCATTTTTCTCTCATCAGGTCTATCTAGTCTGCATTTTTCCTGGACTCTGTGCTTTGACGATAGGAGAGGACAAGTTCCTGTGTGCATCAAAGGTCCTTTTCTGTCTCTGCCCTCATCCAATCTACCCCAGGCCTGGGACTCATTCTCCCACACTCTCTTCCTTCTGTCTAGACCCCTGGCTATCCATGTTGAACTAAAACACTCATATAGGTCAGGACAAAAGGAAAAGATAGACTCTGATGCCATTTTTCATAGAAGAGCGACTCTAGGCAACAATAATGTATTGTACATTACAAAAATGCCAGAAGAAGGGGTTTTGAATGTTAGCACCATAAAAAGTGGTAAATATTTGAGGAGACAAATATAGTTGCCTGATTTGCATCATACAGTGTTTACATGTATTGAAACTTCCACATAGTACCAATTAATATGTACCATTCTGTGAAAATTAGAAGATAAAAAGTTAAAATTTTCGATGTTCAAAAACAAAAAATTCTACATTCTAAGAACTATATCCATTCATTTTGACATTTCTGCATTCCCATTTAGGGCAAAACTTCTCAAAGGGTTGAGTCTCTGAACATTCTACAGTATAATAGACATCGGTCAGTGGGGTGCTGAAACTGATGAGACTCGACTGTGTTCGTTTCTTCCTAACTCTACACTCAGTGACTTGACATGAATTCCTTGACATTGGTCATTGTGGGAGTATCCGCAGCACAGAAATTGATAAATACTAACAATCAGTATTTTTCCTCCTAGAGAGCCTGTTTACTGTCACCATACTGCTGTTTCAGTATTTAGGAGGAATTAATTTAGCCACCTAAGGAGGATACCCATCTACCTCCATGTGCTCAGGGAACACAATAAAGCCCATGCCAATGTTTAAGTCCTTTAGTGAGCTGAGCAGTGGCCAGTAAGTACCCTTATAGGGTGAACATGTGTGTCCTTGGCCCCTGATGCTTTCCTGCTACAGACACCTTTGCTTCAGCTCTATCTCTAGTTCTCAGTGGGCAGCCCAGGGCAGCAGAAAAACATAGAAACGGTGTTTGGACACTTCAGCATTGGGCACACTTTGTTCAAGTCACGTGGTCCTTCTATTAGCTTACACCCTATTCTGCATGGGTTAACTTACATCATCTTCCTACTTTCACTGTGGTGTTTTAAACTATTCTAACAAATTTTGTAGTCATAGCATCTGATTTGTCCCGTGGCAAAATATGTCTGTTTCATGACTTTTGGGACAGTGTGCCTGGGGCACAGTGCACCTAGAACACCCCTCCTAACAGCAGCACCCTCCGCCTAACTCTGAGGCTTACAAGGGAATGGCAAATTACCCTGAGGCTAGACATATGCTTTTTATTCAACATGTGTGTTTCTAGTATTTATCTAGGTTGTTTTACAAACCTGTAATTTCTTCAATTTCACTTTTGCATGAAGCATTATATTAAAGGTATTTTGGTCTTCTATTAGACTGCTTGGTCTCAGACTTTTATCCTTGAGTTATTAAGCTTATTAAGTGACTGTAAAGTTTCTCCCTGTAATACATATGCCCATTTAACCCACTTTAGAGGAAGATGTTGTGTGTCCCAGAGGCTACAGTATACTTGTCCTTCTGTTGAGAATAGGTACCTTTCTGGGCACTCCTTCTCTAATTTTAGGGACTAAGTGATCCTGTCTACCCCTGTAGATTGCTGAGAAGCCTCAGTGTCACTTGGTAGAATTTTCCAATGAATTTCCATTGGGCACTCTGTGGTAGCCATGGGCTCTATGCTTTCTGAGCCACACTCGTGGGGCCCCTCCATGAGGTTCCCAATCAAAGACAAGGATGTCTTTGCAATTCAGACCCTAGTAGACCCCTGAGATTTTTCTACTTATTCAGTTGACCTATTCTGGTTGTTTAGTCTCTATACCACAGGAAGAGAGAGGAACGGGAATCACTATTTCTGTAAGCTCACTGTCTTCTTTCCAAAACTTGTTAATGTTTCTTTCATGCTTTGTCTTGGCTTTTCTTATGGTGTATTCTGTGATAACCTCACAGGGTAGTAACTGAATAGTCCAGGTTGGACCTTCCCTTCATCTATCAGTGAATGTAAACACTGATAACAGAGACTAACCCTATCAGAGCTGTGAGAGTCTTTAGATAGGCCTGCTGTTGGGAGAAGTGAGCATAGCTTGCTTTATAGGCTTGAAGAATTATGGGCTCTCTTGTCTCTTGTCTAATTACCCAGCAATTTTTCCTTTATTTTCCTATCCCACACTAACTTTGGCAAAGTCTAGTTTGTTAAGCACATACTTTCCAGTTCTCACCCTTGCCCAGTATAATTTAAATTTCTTCCTCTAGAATGCTCATTCTGGACACATTGTCCTGATAGATCAGTTATCAGGAAAAAAATCCTCAGCACAACTAAGAGCAATTCCAAAGATGATCAAACTGAATACTAACATGAATGTTAATGTGACACATAGAAACTAATAGATAAACATGAAGTTACACAAATGCAAGATAAAACAAGAATGAATGGATTTAAAAACCATTCCCTCTGTGATTCAAAATCTAGATGTTATAAAACAATCAATTTAACTACACTAAAATTTTTTCAGATGTGAAAATTCATTACCAAAATCATGCATAAATGACAAACCAGGGAAAGGAGCTTAAAGTCATGTCACCAACAAAAGACAGTCTCTTTACTTTCAATAAATACTTCATTGACATTGAGTAGAAGACAAAGAACTAGGCGAAAGCAGAGTTGTGACTGAGCCCAGTGGGTTGCACTGGGCCCAAGGCAATTATGTCTTTACCTGATAAAGAAATGCTGCCGAGTCTGCTTCGTTCATGTGGAGGAGCCCATCTTTGCCAAAGTGCAAAATGACCCCCAAGTCCTAAGCCCTGAAATAAAAATGATTAGAGATCTTGGCATGCATTGTTATGTAGAAATTCATATCCAGCATAGATTTAGAAAGTAATGACTACCTGGGCTAGACCTTTGACTACTCGAGTGGCAATGAAGAATGATAGTCCAAGATTAGCAGCCAAAGGGATGCCGAGAGTGAGCAGCGATGATGCCAATAAAGAGATACCAGACACTTTCTTTGCTCCCATTCTCCCTGCCAGGTATCCCCCGGGGACCATTGTCAGCAGCATGCCGTAGTTGATGGAACCAAAGAGTATGCCTTGGGTCTGAGGACTCCAGTCATACACAGGGGCCTTAGAGAATCAGAAAAAATGTTGTGTTGAACCATATACAGGAAGCTCTTCTACATTCCAAGAAGGTTCTTTGGATCTTTTACTTGCTTTCAAATCAGTATTTTCTCAATCAAGTATTGTGAACATAGAAACTGAAGAAAAATGAAGATCCAAACAAACAAGTATCAAAAATAAAAGATCACCTTTAAAACTGTCATTGCTTACCTTTGCAGGAAGACTCACTGGGGCTTTATCTGGGCCATCTGGTAAGCCTACAGAGCTGTTGACCTTAGACTGGTGGTCTGTGCTGTTGACCATGGCTACCATGGTGATAGTCAGGGCAGCATTCTGAACAGCCAGCATGAAGTTGAAGAGATGTGCAATGAAGGCTATTCCATAGCGAATGGAACAAAAGCTATTAACTGCAAACATGATACAGCATTAAGTGTTCTCTTTATTAACCCAACATTAATTCTTTACAAGATGTCATAAAGAAAGTACTGGAAACCTGCACTGGATGACTCAAATGATACTTTTATTGGTTTCAGGAAAAGAAGACACCAAGGAACAGATTAAAGAGTTGAACTGAAAGACATTTTATAGCACAGCTGACACTCTCTAATACTCAAGAACTCACTCTGGGACACTTGTCCATCCTATAGTTCTACCTCTCCTTCTCCCAGATCACTGTCCTATGAGATTGGTGAAATTAGTCACAAGTAAAACATATATATAAAACATCTGGCTCTGTGAACTGGCAAATGCTCTGCCTCCAGGTCTTCCTACAGCTTGTTTCTTCTCTATATGTGCTTTCCCCCAACAAGCTGCTTGGCCAACTCTGGTGCATCATTAAGGGCTTTGACTTTGCATCTTTATACTTTGCACAGTACTGACACCTTCTAATAACTATAATTTGGGGTTCTGCATTGTGTTTTATATCCCTTTCTGGAAAGTAGATTACATTAACCAGAATTACATTTGCTATTTGCTGTTACATATCCTGGCAACTATAAGTATTTGTTCAACAATTGATGGAAGGTACAAACTCTAAACTGGAGGGCATGGTTGGGGAGAGGGATCAGCTCAGTGCCCTGTTATTTCCTGAACTAAATGGATTCACCTGTCCAGCACAGGGTGCAGAATGTGAGGAGCTATACTCACTCAAGCTATTGGCCCAAACATATTCATCTATGTCCTTTGTCTTTCCACAGGGAGAAAAGTAAATAAAGTAGAGAGAATTCCAAAGAGCTACTTTGTCCAAAGTCCTCTGTAAAGAAATCTGTGACCAGATGAATATAGTTTCTTGCCTTACACACTTACTCTAGTCTGTGTAAAACCCTTTGGCAGCCTCCATTTCTCTCAAAATAAAGATTGGATTAGTCTGTTGGCTGTGTTGTGAGGTACAGCTTCCACTCAGCATAATGCTTCACAGCCACCTTACTGAGCTGAGGAGAAGGTGAACTTTCAGAGCCACGGCAGAGTTTCATCACATCTGATCACGGTCTTTGAAGTTTAGTTTCTAAATGATTCTGTCTTTTAATTTTAACCATAAAGCTGATTTTCCTGCTTTTTGTATTCTTTGGATAAAGCAGTTAGGATCTTAGCAAGGAAGTAGGTTTCTGCTTTGAAGTTGTCATCTTCCTTGAAAGTGAAAATATAGATTATTTGAATGCCATTCTCATTTCTTCTACTACTACATTTTACTATATTTTCTCAGTTTGCAGGTATCAATTTCCTTAATGTGGAAACTGTTTCAGTGGTTTAATTTCAAAATTTAAATGAAAGTTTGTCTTTGATTCCTGAAGACATGAGTAGAATAATCATCTATAGCAACAAATAATTCTCTCAAGGTTTAAATTACATTTTACTTAGACATATAAAAAATAAAACATGAATATTTTGAGGAGATGGGGGGCTACTAAAGTGGGTTTTTTTAGCAGTGAGTAGAGATGTGAGTGACCACTCAAATTGTAGCTTTGTGAAACTCAGCCTTGCCTGAGACTCTTGAGTGACAGAAATTGTGATGTAATAAAAGTATGTTGTTTACGGTTTCTATATTTGTGGTAGTATGTTTAGAAGTATAGAAAATGAATACAGTGGCAAAAAGTAATAAAGGCTACTTGAATCTGTAATAATTACACAAGGTAAACATTGTAAGATGTTTAATTATAAAGCATTGAAATTTATCATGAGAATTAATTGATAAAAACATTTTCATACTGAGAAATAAAAGCAAGCAGAAAAAATCCAAGGACTACTACAAAAACACTGAAAAGAATCATACAAAATGCAAGAGTCTGTAATTAATGAGGGAAAGCTACATTATGTATTAAGTAATGCTGTAAAAATTGGTTAAGTATATGGGAAATATTGTTGGAGTAATGCCTCATTTTAAATTAAAATATAATGTAGTAAACTTGTATTTCATCAAACTGAAGATGTCATTGATGTTAGGATACAGTATTTTTTGTTCCAGCAAAAGTCAACTGATAAACTTAATAACTAATCAAATTGAACAAACTGATTTATAGAATACAAGCCCCAGATTTTCACTCATATTCTATTGTAGCTCATTAGATAGAAATCCCATATTTCCAAAAATTTTGAAATTATCCTTGATTTCTTTCTTTCACACTCAATATCTAGTCTGTCTGGAACTACTGTTCTTGCATTTAAAATTCACATAGTACCCAAACACTTCTCACCAGGTTGCTGCTCTCTTGGTTTAGGGCTCATTTCTGGTGGTCCTAGCTGTCAATGTCTCTTGTCTGGAACTTTTTTATTACTGGCAAGTTAGTTACCTACTTCCATCTGTTCCTAAAATAGCAGCTGGAGTGAGTCCTCCTACCATAAATCAAATCACTCCCTCTTTCGCTCCAAATAGTTTCATTTTTGTTCAGATTAAAAAACCAAAGTCTCCACATCAGTAGCCACTGGAAATAAAACATTTATCCTTTGCCTCAGATTTTTCATTTTAAATCCTGAGGAAACTACCCAAATGTGGATAAGTGTTGTATGAAGGAAAGTTTTTAGAAAAAAAAAAGGAAAAGATCTTTTATCATAATCATATCAAAAAAAGGAAATGATCTTTTATCATAATCTATATTATATAATGGCTGTCATATGTATTTCATATATAATAGCTAAATGGTGTATATATTTCATATATAGGTATTAACCAAATAACAATATAAAAGTCCATGACTTAAATATCCAGTTAAAGGAGGATTTTTTTCAGGTAAAACTGTAAACAATTAGATATGTTGAAATATAATATGATCTCAACAATAGTTTTTTAATTTTATAAAGCATTGTGGAAAAATATGTGTAAGTTGAAAAAAATACAATTATATATAGGGTACAATTACATAAATATGTACGTAAAATACATGCAATAAAAATTATAGTGGCTGAATTAAGCTTATGAAAATCTTCTACATATGAATTTGTAATTTTCTATAATTATTTTTTCTTACTTTGCTTGAGTAACACAATCATAATATTACATGCAAATACTACACAGAAAAAACAATACCACCTGTTTACAACTTTTTAGCAATTATTGAGAATATAAATGCATATGGATAAAGACAAACAAGTAACTGCCAAAATAAAAAACTATTTTTAGAGGAGGGTTACTTATTTTCTTCATATATTTACATTAATGTTACTGAGTTTTAAAAAATAATCAAACAACTTAAAAATTCCTTACTTTGTGTTAATATATTAAAGAGAGAAATTCACTGCAAAACTCTGTAACCAAGCACATGAAGTCAAGTTTACCTTTCCTGGGACTGTGCTTCTTGTCTACTTGCATATCTTGGGAGAACTCGCTGTTCTCTAATGTGGAATTCAACTCTGTTATTACAGCCATTTTGTTTTTCCTTTTTTGGTACAAGTTTTCACCTAATGGGATGATATATAATCCACAGATTTCAGTCAAAAGGAAGAGATTCCTTTGAAATGTCTCAATAGTGGGCAACAAGCAAACAAAACCCGCCTCATTCCATCTGAGACACAGGATGGGGGGCTCATTCTTGTCACTTGGTTCAACACAACATACTTTTCCTACGGTTCAGAACTGCTTACTATACAGGATTCAGTGAGTTCCCTTGGTGCCAGCTTAAGAGCTTTGGCCTGGAAGCCAGGCATGCCCAAGTTCAAATTCAGATCCATGATTTACCTATTTTACCAAGCAACACTGGGAACAACTCTGCATGTTTCAGTTTCCCCATCTATTATTAACAGCAGCAACAATGAGAATTTCTTCACAAAATAGTAAGGCTTGAATCCAGGGAACTGGGTCTGAGTGAAGTGAGTTCCAGCACACTGGTGTGGGTTCAGCAAGAGTTTAAGATTATCGCTCCAACAGTTAAGGAGCCACCCAGCTTCCAGCCACACTAGGCAGGGTTCTGCACATTTTGTGGGCCTAGCTGGGCCATACCCAGTGACCTTCTTTCAATCTGGGGAACTGGAGCTGAGTGAGGTGACTTCCAGCACACTGATGTGGGCCCAGAAAGAGCTTCCAGTGGTTAAGTGTCCACCAAGCTTTCAGCCACACTAGACTAGGTTTGGGAGGTTTCTCTGGCTGCACTAGACCACAACCAAAAACCTTCTTCAATCAGGGGAGCTGAGGGCACATGAGGTGAGTTCCAGTGCATCTAAGCTAGCCCAAGGAGAGCTTTGGACCATCACCCACAGTGGCTAGGAGCCTGTCCAGCTTCCTGGAAGACTGGAGGCAGCAAGGGAGGTCTCATGGACATGAGTGAACCATGCTCAGCAACTTCCATTCAGTGCTAGGAGCCAAGAGCATAGGAGGTGATTTCCAACACACTCAGGGGAAGGTTTGCAACATCACTTAAAACATGGAAATATAGGAAAATGACATGATGAAAGACCAAACTGCAATCTCAAACCTCCCCAAGAAAGCCCACCCCAAGAAAGCCTAAGAGCTATGTACATAGAAGAAAATATATGTCGTACACCTAAAATACCTGAAATAATAGTAACTGAAAAAGGAAGCAATTCTGGGGAGCTTTAAAGGAACTCAAATTAGAAATAATCTCCCAGGCAAAAAAAGAAATGATAAAAGTAATGAAAGAAATGCTGAACACATCTAAAGAAGACACAGTTAAAAAATTACAGGAACAAAGCAAAAAGATAGAATGCCTGGATGAACAATATAAGAAACAAACAATACATGAAGCAGATTCAAAGAGATACACAAGAAATCAAAAATTTCATTGAAAGTTGCCAAAACCGCCTCAATAAAAGTGAAGATAGAATTTCAGACTTCAAAGATAAGATTGCAGCTAGTGAACAGGAAAGGAAAGATCTTTTGAAAATAACAAGGAATCAGGAAATAACAATTCAACAGCTGCAAGATGATTCAAAGAAAAATAACATAAGATTGATAGAGATAAATGAAAAAGAATGAGACAACACAAATGATATCAAGAGGCTATTTATAGAAGTAATAGCTGAAAAATCTCCCAAACATGAGAATGGAAACTGACATACGGATTAATGAAGCATACAGAACTCCAAATAGCCATAACCAAAATAAAACTATACCCAGACATATAATAATCACCATCCCAGAAATCCAACATAAGAATAGAATATTAAAAGCTGTTAGAAAAGACAGATCACCTGTAAAGGAAAACCTAGCAGAAACACAGCAGATATCTCAACACAAACAATGAAGTCAAGAAGAGCATGGAGCTAAGTAAGTATTTCAGATCCTAAAGGAAAACAACTTCCAACCTAGATTGATGTACCCTGAAAAACTGTCCTTCAAAATGCATGGAGAAATAAGATACTTCCATGACAAAGAACAGCTGGAGAACTTTATGATCAATAAACCAACCCTGCAAAGAATATTGGAAGATATTCTAGATACACATAGAAAAAATCCACTAAACAAGGCAGACAATCAAACAGAATGGAAAGGTAAAGACGCAACAGCAGAAAGATAACATGTCAACCAAAAACCAATATGTGAGAGTTATAATTATTAATGTAAATGGTCTCAATTCACCAATTAAAAGAAACATACTGGCAGAATGGATCAAGAAGCAATATCCAATCATATGCTATCTACAAGAAACCCATCTAACCCAAAAGAAAAGTCATAGACTGAAAGACAAAGAATAGAAAACAGTACTCTATACAACAGGATCCCTACAAAAGTAAGGGTAGCGATTTTGTTTGCAGACCATGTGAACTTCAAGCCATGAATGATCCAGAGAGATAAAGGCCACTACATACTATTTAGGGGAAAATTTCAAGAGGAAGACATAACAATCTTAGATATATATGCACCAAGTTTGGGAGCACCCAGCTATACAAAACAAATATTAATAGAAATGAAAAACCTTATCTTTGATAAAGGGGCCAAAGAGGTTCACTGAAAGAATGACAGTCTCTTTAATAAACAGTGCTGAAAAAACTGGCTCTCCATATGCCGAAAACTAAAACTAGACCCATGCCTATTACCATGTACTAAACTAAAATCTAAATGGATCCAAGATCTGAATATTAAAAAAGAAACAATAAATCTATTGGAAGACAAGTTAGGTAAAAATCTTGATGACATAGGGGTAGGTAGAGAATTCATGAACAGAAATCAAATTGCATGGGAAATACTTCCCAGAATTAATAACTGGGATTACGTCTTATTAAAAAGTTTCTGCATGTCAAAAGAAATCTCCAGCATAGTGAAAAGTAAACTCACAAACGGGGAAAAAAATCTTAGTGAACTGTGTCCCTCAGACAAAGGACCTCTGTCTAAAGCACATAGAGAATTTAAAAAATGAGACCCCCAAAATTCAAAGACTTAATCCAAAATGGGCATGTGAGATGAATATACAATTCTCAGATGAAGAAATACCAGTGGCAAATAAATAAATGAAAAAATGTTAGTCATCATTAGTTATTAGAGAAATGCAAATTAAAACCACACTGAGATTCCATCTCACTCCTGAAAGAATGGCCAGGATCAAGAAATCTATCAACAACAAATGCTGGAGAGGCTGTGGGGAAAAAGGAATGCTCCTGTACTGTTGGTGGGAGTGTAGCCTGGTGTAACCATTGTGGAGGTCAGTCTGGAGATTCTTAAAAAATCTGGGATTGGAAGTCCCATTTGATCCAACTATTCCACTTCTAGGCATATTCCCAGAATAACTGAAAACATCATACCACATGGATGTATGGGCACCCATGTTTTTAGCAGCACAGTTTGTAATAGCCAGATCTTGGAAACAAGCAAAGTGTCCATTAACCGAGGAATGGATAAAAAAGTCGTGGTATTTTTGTACAATGGAATACTACTCAGCTATAAATAATGATCACATTGAGATATTTATAAATAAATGGGCACAGCTTGAGACCATACTCATGAGTGAAATAAATCAAATTCACATGTATAAATACTGTATAATCTCCCTAGTGAAAGAAGTGATAAGAGTACATAAGATTTTATGGTAATTATGATTCCCCATTACATTGCTTTGAAGCCTTATAATGTTTTCATTCATTAGTTGGAATGGTTTTATTTTGTTTTGTTTGATTTTATTACGTGTGATGGTATGAACAGCTGTTTTGAAGAAAATAAGACATTATGACAAGCATTGCTGACCTCCTGATAACTGGGGACCAAGTTTGCATTGACCAGAGATTGATAATATGACTACAGAAATCTGCATATAAGAGAACTAAAAAAAGGTCATTCCCCATGTACAATATTAAGATCTTTAGTGCTCAAGGATATTCCTAGGTGTATCATGTGCAGAATTACAGTGTTCATTCTATGTTAAGTACTCAATTCATTAATGATTCTCTTAAAGTTTCCTCAAATCTTTGTGGAATGTCTTTATATGATCATCTTTCAGCATCTCTCCCACCCCAAGCAGCTAACAATCTGCTTTCTGTGATGAAGAGTAATTTATGTTTCCTAGAGATTTACAGGAAATGAAGCCATGTAGCACATGTACACTTTTTTTCCTGGCTTATTTCATGCAGCATAAGGTTCTGAGATTATATGTGTTGTATATTTTAATAGTCCATCTATTTTCAATGCTGAATAATTGTCCATTACATGATTGTCAGCTTGCCTTTTGATGAAAAGTTGCATTGTCCGCAGCTTTTGACATAAATAAAGCTGTTAGGAAAATTCAAGTTCAAGTCTATGCATACACATGCGCTTCCATTCCTTTAGATAAATGCCTAGGATTAGAATGCCTAGATAATATAATAAGTGCATGTTTAACTTCCTAGAAAAAGACAAATTATTTTTTAGAGTGACTGCACCATTTTATGTTCCCCCCAGCAGCTTCTGAGAGTTCCAAATACCTATGTACTCACTAACTTGATAACATCAATGTTTTAAATTTTAGACATTCCACAGACAGCTAAGTATAGCTTGCTGTGGTTTTAGTTGCATTTCTCTAATGAAGTTGAATATATTTTAACAGACTTATTTGCCATGACAATCTTTTTTAGGGAAATAACTAAATCTTCACACTGGACGTTCTAATTCTATGATGTGACTAGGTTATCTCTAAAACAAGAGTTTTGTTTTGTGGTAAACTGCTCTGATTCTATATTCAAAGACTGGGAGATATTTTACCAAATGGCAATGATATGACCACCTATAGTCCTGGTTTGATGTAGCCTGTTTGTCTAGTGCTACCTGGCCATGTTAAACAAGAATATACAGTTTCCACAAGTAGTTTTTGCCCATGAGTAAAAATTGTTTGAACTCCCATTTTCCCATGCCTCTGTGGCTGTAGAACTTTACTTCCTCCCTACCACGGGGCTCTGTTTGGACTCAACACTCTGCAAGTCTGATTTGAATTCTGAAGGTACTCCATAGTTACCCCTGATTAAGCAGCAATGGGAGTTACCCATAGCTAGAGTCATTTCAGAGCAACAACCTCTGCATTGTTACCCTTGGTTCTATGAGGGAGAGATTGAAAGATCAGTGACTGGTTAAGAAGAGTGTTTGGTTGAGGCCTCTACAATTTGAATGCATGATGGTATGAAATGAGCAGTGTTTCTACTATACAGATAGTCTGATTGGTTAAAGCTGTAAATACTTTCTTGTTAAAGTAACAAGTAAAAGTGATTTTAAAGTTGCTTTTATTGGCCCTATATCATAGAACAGTGAAAATATATATGTTATCTGGCAAGGAAAATATAAGTAAAATTTGAAGATCAAAATGTCATCCTGTAACAGATGTATCTGGGTTCAGAAATATTCTCCATGTGTTTTCAAACATCTCATCTTAGCAGCCAACAATGGAGACTGAAGACTATGAGTCCCCTAAATTATTGATGTTGAATAGGTTCTTAGTTCTTCCTTGCATTAAGTCTTTGATGGGGCTATGTGAAATCTGTTAGCTGTTTCATCTATGAAGTTCAGTAATTTCTGGATGGGGAGACAGTTGGCTTTTTCTAGAAAAAGGTTACATGGAACTTCTAAACACAAAATGAAATGACCGAACATGTAGCTCCTTGAATGCTGTTTTAGCAGAGAGTAAAATACACAAATTGATGAAGGGCTAGCAGAATGTAAATTGAGAGAGAAGCTCAGGATGGCTCCCACAGGAAGCATAGCAGACTCTATGGCCAGGGTGTCCTGGAGCTAGCTTTCCTGGGCCCAAAGAAAATGATTCATAAATTATTGTGAATTTTGCAAAATAGTTTTTGGAAACAGTCTTGTCAATTAAATTTTATGAATTTAGAATTCAATAAGTTATTTTTTAATTGAAAACATAATTTCATAATTTTTTACTACATTTTATTGTAAGCTTTGCTCTTGACATTCTTTCTCTCTCATGGTGGGAATATGGTGGGAATATCGAATAAAAGTACACTATAGTTGGGCATGGTAGTGCATACCTGGAGTCCCATGTATGTCATCTGGGAAGCTGAGACAGGAGGATAGTTATTTAAAATCCAGCCTGGACAAGTTAATAAGACTTTGTATCAAAGTTTAAAATAGGGCTCAATGTGAAAACCTTGAATTCAATCTCCAGGACCCTAAAGCAAACAAACAAAAAAGGATTCTATGGTGTACCTCTGCTCAGCTTGAAATACACTGATGTTAATGTTTATGGCTTGCAATTGTCTATGATGGATATTTTTTAATGGCATAAACACTGGCAAAGGCTTCATTTAGGCTGCATCTATTGTGTTACTGACTTCTTGGACTTATTCCTCTCTGTATAAGAATGTAGTAACATGGTAATGAATGCTCTGTGTGGATGAGAGTTCTGAATCATTACTTGGACTTCACCTCCTATTGGCTCGCCTTGGTATGAGGTGATCTTTCCATCAAGGCACAGGTGCTCTTACTAAGATGCTATGCCTCTCACCAGCCTGACTCTCCATCGCCAGTGCTTCTCCCTGCTGAGCTTCCTATTTGTCTCTTACTTTGTGAATATAATCTTCAAAGCTGTCTAAGGCCTTTTGTGACAGTCGACACAGACATCTCAAGCACCACCTATTCCTGCCAGCAACTCTGACCCACCTACCTGTTTGTGAAGGACACCTATGGTCACACTAACCTAAAAACATAGGCACTGACTTGAAACTCGGGATTCAAGCACTGGTAACCCTCCCCATAGCTTAAGGTTGGATCTGTAATTAGGGAAAAGAGAGGTAATCCAGAAGGAAATTTCAGACCATCTCCTGGTGAACCAACGATCTGACAAGTTCAAATGCCACCCACAGGCCATGCAGTCTCCCATCTCTTACTATGCATTTTCAATCGGACTGATGCTCTTCCTACTCCCTTGGCTCCACTCTGAGCAACTCCCTCCCATTTTAACACCTTCTCTGGTTTTTTTTTTTTTTTTTTTCATCAATGGTCCAGAAAAGTGCTCTGGTTATATTCCATGCTCAGAAATTTTGGCCCACAGCAATGTTCATAGGAAAATGGCATTATTTTTAACATAACTATGAGGTTACAAGTACAGTAAAAAAGTTGTAGCTTTTAGCTGAGGATATAGTAGACTGCTTACGTAGCATGTCCTGGATTTTATCCCCAATCCTACAGGTGAGCGGAAGTGGGTAAAAGTGAGGGTCAGCAGAGGTTGCACCTTCTATGTTCCAGCGCTGTGGTCTCTCGCTGAGTACTGCTTTCTTCCCTCTGCCTTAGCCCATCATCTTCTGGTGGACTGGCCGCTGCTGTATTGCTTTACCTTTCCATTTCCTCTTCTCCTGTCCCCAGTCATTTTGCTATGCCTGCATTTTATCTCATCTGAATGGTTCTTGACTCCAGTATTCTTCCAGAAGCTGTCTTGGACCAGAGCCACCCTTGCTCTGTCTTGTGTCAAAGCCCTGCCCCTAATGAATCTGGATGGGGATTTAGGGCAAAGGTAGTAAACAAGTTGCTGTGGATCTGTCCAAGAAAAAACCAGTACAGCCTTCCAGTGGAGTAGAGAATCTCCCCTGGAGAGACAGAGCTGTGGATGATTCTTTCTAACCTGGGTGTTTCCTCACCACTGTCCTTCAGCCTCTGTGTGCCTCATCAGCACATCACAACAGTTATAGCCCATGCTGAACTACCATGCCAGGCAGCCTACCGCAACCCAGAAAAGCGTGCCAAATTCTTCTTTCAGGTCATGCAGTTGGGAAATAAATGAACTAATATTTGTTCACGAGCCAGTTTGATCCCCCAAATTCTCCTTTGAAACACCCCTACAGTGCCTACTCTTTAGAAATTCTTTCCCCAGCTGGCACTGTCTCCACTAACTAGTTGGTGTCAATATCCTGGGAGAAGAGGATACAATGCCCAGCTTCCACCTGCATATTCTCTTTCATCACCTTTGTTGACTCGAGCTTTTCTAGGCTCACTCACATTTTAATCATTTTTATCAATCTGAGAAAGTTGGATTTCAAAGAGGGTTTCAGCTGTTGCACCGAAAGGACCCTTGGAAATCCTTCATATCAACATTGAGATAAGGGACTCACCGACTCAGGGTCTGAGGAAAGACTTCCAGGGAGATTCTGTGTTTCTTCCAGCCCGTTCCCTTCACCTTCTTGCCAGCACATAACGGAGGATTGTTTGGCTACTCCCAGGCTTGAGTAATCATTAATTAAAGGCGTCAAACTGGAGGCTGCTGTTCAAAGGGCTTCTTGCCAAATGGACTCTGAAGAAATTCAGTAGACATGTGTGCCTTCTTCCAGGGAGTCCTTCCTGCCTCTGCAGCTCCCCCGCTTTCCTGGTGCTGGGGCCTCTCAGCCCCTCTCAGCCCCTCTCCTGTGGGGTGCTTCGAACAGCAGAGGCACCATCTGGATTGAACACCTGCAGGGGGTTGTGCAGCTGCACGTGTGCTGTCTTTAACATCTTTGTTTCAGTTTTAGAAAGATTAACAAAAGAGAGAAATTACAACTAAATACAGAGGTTTAATATTTTTGTGTGCTACCCCTTTTGAGTGGTGGTTCGCCCTCCTTTGACATCTTATTTTTCTGCCTTAAAATATATTAATTACACAGATGAATTTCATTCCCTCTATTGCTTTCCCTTTCCTAAGATTCTGCTTTCCTAACTAAGCTGAACCAAATAAAGACACAGGGCTCACAGAAATTCAGCATTCTGCTGTTTTTAGTATCTATATGTGTCTGCACTGATTGACAGGTCAGCTTGTTTTAGTCTTCCAGGTGAGGCAGTGCCTTTGGACTCAAGGTTTGTAGTTGTTATTATTTCCTCTGTATCTGTCTCTGTCTCTGTCTGTCTCTCTCTTTTGGTACCAGGGATTGGATTTAGGATCCTGTGTTTGCCAGGACAGGTGCTTGTGCAGCTGATCTAATCCCCGGTCTTATTTACTTATTTTAAAAGTTAATTTCAAGCTTTTGAAAGGCCTGCGTTTATAATCCTGACTCTCTCTGACTTTAAGTCCTTGTGGCCCCAGGAGTTTGCCTTTTGATTTTGAGGTTAACTACCTATTGCAACTGTATTATGAGAGAGCAAACCACCTGCTTGTGCTCTGGCTGAGGACAGGGAGTTTGCTAATATCTATCACCAAGGTCAATAATTCAGGAGGATGAGGCTGGGTTTTAGAGAATTAGACCTCTGCTGAGCACTTACGTGCAATAACCATAATTCTTTTGAGTTAGCTTTACTGTGTTCCTTATATGAAAAAAGAAAAGAAAAAAGATTCGAACCATTTGTACTTTGAGAATTTAAACATAGAAAAGTTAATTAGCAGGGGCAAGTGGTTTTATTTATTGTACAATAGATTTTCCCTTGAATCTTCTCCCCCGGCCTTCTCTCTTTCTGTTTCAATTTGGTATTACTGAGGTTTGAACTCAACTTTCTCACTAAACTTCACTCCCAGCCCTTTTTAATTTTTTTTGTGTTTAAAGTCATAGTCTCAATAAGTTGTGGCCCTCCTGTCTCAGCTTTCCAGGGTGCTGAGATTACAGGTAATTTGCCACCAACTCCAGTTTTTGCTGAGTCACTTTTGAAGGACTCTGGACCCTGGTTAAATAATCAACATCAGAATTAGACTACTTCCTACCTTATATTATTCATATGAGAACACATGAGTTGTGCAATTTAATTTTTAACTTTATTTTTAAATATTCATTTTAGTCATTTCCTCTGACATATACCCTACTTGGCTGAGTTGGTAGAAAAACTGAAGATGTTCCAGTTGAGAAAACATAATCCAGCTTTGTCTCATCTATGAATAGTTTTTAAATACTTAAATATATATTGAAAGGTTTTTTTAGTATAGATCATAAGTCTCACCTTTTAAAAAATTCTGTTTTCTTTTTGAAAGATACTGATCTTTTTAAAATTAGGTTTATTAGTTCATCTTATGTATACATAAGGATTTCATTCATCATAGGGAATTTGTACCTGTACTATGATATATCTTACACTGATCTTTATTGTAGTCAGGGTTTACAAGGCAAATAATTTAATACAGAACACATGATTTATAGGATTATTTTATAATATTCACCCAGAGATTCAAATGCAAAAGAGGGTGGGAGATCTGTCCACATACTAAAGACCCAAAGAATCCAATTGATGGCCTGGATCCCATGGCAATGTCCTGCATAAGTCTAATGGAAGACCTAGAGTCCAAGGCAACATGCCCCACGAGTCCAACTGGAGGCTAGAGCCCATGACAGTATCTCATGTGAGTCTGTTTCAAGTCTGTGCTGGGAAGGCCCAAAGATCAGTGGTGGAAGCTAGAAAGTCTGCACTAGCAGGATGAAAGTTCTGTCCCAGCAGGCTAAGGAATCTACTTTGTAATCATGAAGTGATGCTCATATTAAGGACCACAGCTCCCCTGAAAAGAACTGCCGTCATCCTCAGCAATAGCAAGGCTCTGAGTTCCTCCAAAGATGAAAATGGCTATGTTCATATCAGGAAAACCAGAGCAACAATCTTCTCTAGGAAAATCAACAGCATACCACCTTCCTCTTCAGTTCTGCTTTTATGGTATTGACAACAATCTTCAGGTGGGCCTTCAATACCCAGGACCATGCTGGTTTCAGTTCAGCTGGGTGTTAGAAGTTGATCATTAGATAATCCAACACAATCTTTAAATTGCTATGTTTTAGTATGAAAATCTCTGGAGAAGATAGAGTATGCACACACTCCCCCCCCCAACAGGCATCCTAAGAGTGGTTTCCATAAGACTGCAAGCAACTGTCATTACTAATTAGCTACATTACCCCACAGTAAGAGGGTGGCTCAGATTCTGAGTACATTTTGGTGGACTCTGGCACACAGTCCTGCTGTGGTCCCAGGAGCCTGTCCTTTGGAATTTAGAAGGTCAGGATAGGCTCTGGTAGAGGAAATATATTCAGGTACACACTGTACCCCAATTTCACATTGCACAGCAGGGATTCAGGTGATTCAGGGGCTGCTGCCCAGCAATTGCACCGAGTCTAAACCCTTACACAAAAGAGTTGACTGAAAGGCAGTGATCAAGTCCCTGGGTCTCAGCTGGTTTTTCACATACATTCTGTGGACCCATAGCTGTCATGCCTGCTCTGGACCTTAATCTTCATGGTGGTTCTGACAAATCCTTTTAAATTCTTTTAGATTCTCTTAAAATCTTTTAAATTCAAGTCAAAATCCTCTTTTGCTTTACTGTCTATGACAAATAGGGTCAATTGTGTCATCAATCTGATGCCATCTGGTCATGTGCTGGGTACTGCTCAAAACAGGCAGTCAGATAAATATATGTTCACATAAATATTGTGTCTCTCCCCTCTTTTCTAATTGTTCTCTTACTTTGCCTCAAACTCCTTTCATAGGAATGTTTTTTGGTGGGGCTTATTTAACAGTAACATATGCTAGGCACTTATTCACATGAGCACATTCCATGTAACATTTCTCATTCTTGTTACAAATACCTAGAGTAGGTATGATTATTATATCCATTTAATAGAGCAGTTAAGTAACGTGGTTGTAAGCTAGAGGGACAGGAATTCAACCACCTATTATCCTGCCCTGATTATGATATCTGTTAGTAAAAATTAAAACCAAACTTCCAACTACAATTTTTCTTAAATGTTCCTTATTTTCCTTTCTTTGTATTTTTGCACTACCTCGAGCTGGGCCAATTATCTTTTAACATCTTTACATAGCCAGGCTTCTTCTTCCTATCTTTCTTCTTTTCTAAGAATATTTTATTTTTGGAGAAATGAAAATGGCAGCTTGCTAGGGGATCGGGCGGAGAGTCTCTCCGGAGAAATCATATTAGAAGCTAGAATATGACAACATGGAGAGGGCCAGATGAATGGATAACGATTCTTATTAACCAAGACAGCGCAGCTGGAGGATTTAAAGTCGTGCTGAGACGATGAAGGCTGATAACGGAGGCTGCAAATCCCGTGCCTTTAAATCAGCAAACTGACCCATGGACCCAACAGGAAAAGCTGTGTTGGCTTTTGGTGACTGCTGGAAACTGAGACCTGGGACCCCGAGAAGCAGCCAGGACTGCCCCACTGCACCAGAGGAGATTGTGAAAGGCCCTGGAGCTCCGAAGCCGAACACTGTGCAGTTTTCTGACCATTCCACGATGTGCTGAGAGCGTAGGGAGGGCGAGCTGTGTGGTGTGCAGTAGACCCAAGTGGAGGACCTGCACCGAACCCTGGTGAGTACTGGGGACCCCGCGGCTGCTGGGGTTGGCCAGAGAACATCTTGGAACTGGGCAGTGCCCGCCACTACGGGGACATCAATAACACAGAGAGTCTGGCGGCAGACATCTTAGAGTTGGGCAGAACCTTCAGCTTGATGACATCACCAAGTCCCCCTATAGGGAAGTCGGTGGAAGACATCTTGAAATTGGGCAGAGCCTGATGCCATGCTGGCTTCAGTGTCATACAGAGAACTAGTGGAAGACATCTTGGATTTGGGCAGACCTGCTGTCCTGGTGCTCCTGTCACAGAGAGGTCTGGAAGAGAACAGCTGGGGATTTGGGCAGAAACCTGTGCCATAGTGACATTAGTCAGCTGCTTCTGGTACAGAGAGAACTGGCAGGAGCTACTGGGGCTAAACCAAGCCTCTTCTTGGGGCTCAATAAGCAGATACAAAATAGTCACAACTCAGTGACATCCAGAAAGTACAGCCTAATTTACGGATTGACTGGCACGGAGGCTGGAGGCTAGCCTGTACCGCCCCTCCATCCCAGCCTACCCCAGATAACAGCAAATCGAGGAGGACGGCAAA